AATTCAAAGTAAACATCATTACATAAAAGGGTACGGTCTTTTTTTTTTTTTAGTTTTATTCATTTCAAACGGGCCGGATCTGGCCCGCGGGCCGTAGTTTGCCCACGGCTGGTCTAGGGCCAAGCTCATCTGAGATTTTGTAATTAAAATGCTTCCATGAGGCTCTAGCCAGTTTGGCTCAGTGGATAGAGCATCAGTCTGTGGACTTAAGGGTCCCGGGTTCGATTCTGGTCAAGAGCACATGCCTGGGTTGCGGGCTCGATCCCCAGGGGGGCGTGCAGGAGGCAGCCAATCAATGATTCTTCATGGATTTCTCTCTCTCTTTTTCTCTCTCCCCCTCCCTTTCTCTCTGAAATCAATACAAATATGTATTTTTTTAAAAAGGAACAGAGTAGGTGTAACAGCAAACTCCTCAGGCACAGCCTCTGTGCGCGGCGCTGGGAGATAGAGACTCGGGATTCTGGGACTTCTGCGAGCCCTTCCGTGTCCTGAGGCATTCAGTCCCCTGACCGCTGATGTCACACGGGGACCGGGGATGCCGGCAGCTCCACTTTCACTTAAAGACCGAAAACCAGCCCTGACCGGTGTGGCTCAGTGGATAGAGCGTCGGCCTGCGGACTGGAGGGTCCCGGGTTCGATTCCAGCCAAGGGCATGTACCTTGGTTGCAGGCACATCCCCAGTAGGGGATGTGCAGGGGGCAGCTGATCGATGTTTCTCTCTCATGGATGTTTCTAGCTCTCTATCCCTCTCCCTTCCTCTCTGTAAAAAAATCAATAAAATAGATTTTTTTTAAAAAGACCAAAAACCAGGCAAAAATAACAACATTGCAAAAGCTGGGAAACAGCTTCTTTTCCACGTCAGATAATTGCATTGAGACCGGGCGTGTGTGGCCACCGCCCTCCGGGCCTCGGCCCTGCTCTGACCCCGCCCCCACCCCCAGCCCACTTCCCCAGGAAGCGTCCGCCGTGGGCGCCGTTGCTGCAAGGCTGGGGTTTCCTCGTAACCTTGGGGTTTTGTCTTCACACTCGGAGCCCGCGGAGGGGCCGCCTCACCTTGCGGCCAGCCCACAGAGGAAGGGGGGCTGCACACAGCCCCCCAGGTCCTCACGGCTGTTTCCTGGCTCCGCTGAGAGGGTGTGCTCTGCCCCGGCTGGGAGCTCCGCTGGTGGGAGCGTCGTCCCCACCACCAGGGTTCGGGGCTCCATTTAGTCCAGAGCCAGCCAATGGCCTGACTGGTGTGGCTCAGTGGGTAGAGCATCGGCCTGCGGACAGAAGGGTCCCGGGGTTGATTCCGGTCAAGAGCACATGCCTGGGTTGTGGGCTCCATCCCCAGTGGGGGGCGTGCAGGAGGCAGCCGATCCATGATGCTCTCTCATCGTTGATGTTTCTATCTCTCTCTCCCTCTTCTCTCCCTTCCTCTCTGACATCAATAAAAATATATATTAAAAATAAGAAATAGAAGAGGAAGCCCTGTGGTGGACGAGGAGGGTGGCACCCCTCCCTCCTCTCTCTTGGAGGGGGGTCCGGCCGCCAGGGCCTCGATGTATACCCTGTGACTAGCTTGCCATTTTATTAAAAATATATTTTTATTGATGTCAGAGAGGAAAGGAGAGGGAGAGAGAGATAGAAACATCAACAATGAGAGAGAATCATGGATCAGCTGCCTCCTGCATGCCCACTACTGGGGATTGAGCCTGCAACCCGGCCATGTGCCCTTGACTGGGAATCGAACTCGGGACCCTTCTGTCCGCAGGCCGACGGCCTGGCTGGTCCCGAGGATATATTGCCATTGATTTTTATGGAGTGGAAGGGAGGGGGAGAGACAGAGAGAGAAACATAGATGTGAGAGAGACACATGGATCGGTTGCCTCCTGCTCGAACCCCGACCGGGGCCAGGGATCGACCCTGCAGCCGAGGTACGTGCCCTTGACCAGAATGGAACCTGGGACCCTTCAGTCCGCAGGTGGATGCTCTACCCACTGAGCCACACCGGCCAGGTCATGTTTTTGCGTCTTCGTTAAAACCTGTGTATAGTACAGGTGTTTGTGGAGAATATCAGTCCGTGCTTCATGGGGGGTCAGGTTCCCGGGGGCAGCTCTGAGTCGCTGACCTCTGTCTGCCTTTCTCCCAGAATTCCTGTACCCGCACCCCAACGCTTCCGCCGAAAAAGCCCGGAACGTCCTTGCTATAGACGCAGCCCCCGGAGAGCTGGTGGGAGAACAGGCCGCGAGCCAGCCGGCCCCGGGGCCCCCCAACTCCATCAACTTCTCTCTGAAGCAGTGGGGCGCCGAGCTCAGGTGAGTCGGGGGGGGGGGGCCATTCGCCCAGGACCCCGAAAGCGGTGACGCGTGACGACACAGGTGACGATTGCACGTAGGAATGTTGTCACCTGTCATTTCGGGGTCTGGTTGTAGCTACTGTTTTTTCTCCTCCTGATGGATAGGATTTCCATACGTCTTTGCACGCCAGGTCATTTTTCTCTCGGATGACCAGTATCGTGGGTTTTTACCTTTCTGGGTGCTGGGTTGTTTTTGTCTTCTATAAATATTCTTTTTTTTTTTTAATTGACTTAAAAAAGAGAGGAAGGGAGAGGGAGAGAGGGAGAGAAACATCAGTGATGAGAGAGAATCAGGGATCGGCTGCCTCCTGCACGCCCCACACTGGGGATCGATCCTGCAACCCGGGCATGTGCCCTGGACCGGGAATCGAACCCTGACCTCCTGGTTCATAGGTCGACGCTCAGACGCTGAGCCACGCCGGCCGGGCTGGGTTATACCGTTTTTGCTAATGTGAATAGCGCCGAAATGACAGTTCTTGCTCGCGCTCCTTGTGCACACGTGGGAGGACGCGTCGGGGAAAGGCTGGGTCTCGGGTAGACGCCTTCGTCTCACCTGCCTGTGGCTGGTGTCTCCATGGTAACAGCACGACTTGCATCTCACAGCGTCTGATCGTATCAGATCCTCCAGCCCCGGGCGTGTGAGATGACGTTGTGCGTGAGGGTGTCTTTTCTCTACACAACACGTTTCGTTTCCCCCGTAGAAACTCGATGTCTTCCTTCCGCCCGGGAAGGGGCCACGACAGTCGGAAGAGCGTGTTCTACACCCACGAGGAGTGGGAGCTCCTGGACCCCAGCCCCAAGGACCTGGAGGAGTCGGCGGCGGCGGCGCAGGAGGAGAGGCGGAGGCCGGCGCCGGA